GTTAGCTTCGCTTTCCCCTGCTCTCCAGGCTGCAGATGGGCTTGTTTCAGCTGCCCAGCAGTGCAGCCGCCCCCCCCCTCCCCAAGCCAATTCGATAGCGAAAAGTTAATGTTTCATGAAAGTAGCTTGATTGCTTTCGGAGCGACGTGTGGCGGGTGAGCGATGCGGAGCCTGGGCTCCGTGCGGCGCGAGCAGGACCGGGCGCGGGCGGAGGGGGATTGCTTTCGGATGAAACGTGCCCCTGGGGAGGCAGGGCGATGGCAAAGTGCAGGCGTTCTTTTTTTTGGGGCGGGGGGGAGGGGTTGCATCATTATAGGCTTTTTAGATTTGATTTCCTTTTTGTGCCCTCTGAATTTGGAATGGACTTGTGCACGTGGTTTTGGATCTGTGGATGTTTTGCTCCAAAGCCTGTGCTGTTGGGTGCCTTGGCGACACAGAGGTCAGTATGGCTGCCTTGTGGCTCTGGGGCCCCGTGTCCAGTTCTGAACTGGGGCACCTCTGGCGCGCAGGTTTACAGAGTTTGCAGGTTTTCTCCACGCCCATGCTTCAGGCTGGCTTTCTTCGGGGTGTCCCAAGTTCCAGTCCCCGCTCCCTGCCGTCCCAGCTGTGTTTGTTAGTGTACCCTGGGATCCCTACAGACAGTTGTCCCACTGAGACTGAGACACGTCCTGTGCCTGCTTGGTTTGGGCTCTGGCTCGTCTTGACCTTCTGAGGATAAGAGGCTTTCACTAGAGAAGCAGTGCAGCTCCCGTTGGCGTCACTGTCACCCCTCGGGCCCCTGGGTAGGAAATGGTAGCGTTTGCTGCAGGGCGACAAGCTGTAGGCACCCGCCTGGGGTTCCCAGTCACAGCTGGCCGACGAGACCTTTACAGGTTGAGCCACTGTGATCTTTTTTCCCGTGGTATTCTCCCCTCTGTGATTTGAATGTTTCAGTTTGTTTTTTCTAACAAAGCTTTAATCCAATGACAGGGAATTCAATCGGGCTTTTCTTACAAACGGCCGTCAATGAGCAGGTCATCTGCAGCCTGTAGGTGTCCGATGCAGTGTGCAGAGAGAAAGCGGTGAGCTCTCCGCTGAGTGGCTACATTATGCTTTCAGCACTCCTGGTTCCCTGCCTGTCCCCGAAGGCCTTCGCTGTGATTAAAGGCCGTGTTTCAGTGAAAGATATCCTCCTGTCGCAGGCTGCATCAGCGGACTGAGTCGCTGTCTCTCTCACTGGCTGCAGTGCAGACGCACTCCCTCTGGAGTTAGTGTTCTCATTTTCATGGTGAAGGTTACCTGCATCTCTGTTAAAACCCCTGAGCCAGGGGGTGACAATTTCACCTGCTAACTACCTGTTATGGAAGCTTGTACTTGTTTAACACAGTACGATACGGCTTGAACAGCGAGGTGAGTGGAGTCTAATGGGCTGATCCGTCACCCAGACTCGCTCTGCCAGGCGTGTGATTGATGAAGGACAGCTGTCTGGGCTGGTGAGGGGTTAAGGCACTTTGTGTCTGCGCCAAGTGGAAGCAAGGACTTTGATTAGAGAGTGTCTTCAGCTTCTCCAGAGTTGGGAGTCTTGCCAAATTTCTTGACCTCCTTTGCATTCGTAAGACGCCTCTCTGAATATTTTGCTTAGTGTTCGCCGCCTTATCACACTTGTGGCTTCTCTGAAAAGACCCCAGAGACAATTGCAGACAATTTACAACTGAATTCTTGATGCCCGTTCTCAAAGAGGTGTTGTGCACAGACAGGATAACGGACCTGAATCTCTTTAGGCATAAACGGAGGAAGATACGAGGGCAGTTTGTTTGCATTTCCACCGTCCCCCAAGGTTTTGATAAAGGTGGCTGAAGGAACGGCTTTGAGCTCAGTGAAGAAAAATGGAGATGAGGTCACAAGTGGAAATGAAACGGGGGGCGGGGCTTCCTTACACAAAGCGGTGCAGGAGTTGGGGCCAGGCCAGGCCAGGCCAGGCCAGCTGGATGAGAGTTTGGGATCACAGGGATCACAGCAACTAGCAACCAATCAAGAAAAACAGGGTATATAGCCTTCCTCTTGTTTCTAACCTCTTCAGCTTTCAGTGTCAGAGACGTGTTCAGTGAAGTCGTCGAGAGCCGCTCCCTGGGCTGGAGCTTGAGGGCA